CTCTAAAGTTGCATTGTATTTCAGTTTGATACAGTTCTTTTAGTGCAAAGATATCTCTGCATGTTTAAGCAAAACAAAGAATTAATTGCTCCAATATGGTTGGCTCATTTGGGGAATAAAGAAAACTGCAATCACAGTATATAGATGACTTTTAAGTTATTTTACAAAAGAAAAGTTAAGAATATATTGATATTTTATTCTAATTTTTTTAAATCAAAATAATCACATAATCCCATAATTCTGGGAAAAGTATAACAGTGGCAACTATTTGCAAAGCACTTACTTGGCTCCAGGCACTGTGCCCAGCAGACTCATACATAATCCCTAATCCTTACAACAATCCTACAAAATTAATAATGTTATCCTTGTTTTATAGATGAATAGAAAGTAATATTCTTCAATATCTCTGAAATATTTCAAATGCGTGCTTCCATAACAAAATACAAAAACAAAGAATAATTCCAATTACTAACAATTATAGGATGCCAGCCCAGTCACTAAATAACCATGTAACCAGGAGGGATCACGTTAAGTTCCCTAGGCCTCAATTTTTACACCTGAAAACAAAGGAAAAGGTGATGCTTGGTAATAATTCCTACCTGGCCTACCTCACAGTTGTTTGAAATAATATTCATGTGAAAATATTTGGTAAAGCACCGCTCAAGTGTACAGCAGTATTTGCATGAAAATTGTCTTTGGGAATGATGAATTTGTGAAGAAAATTATAGGTGACAATGATTAAGTAATAGTTTGAAACACAACAGGTAAAGATACTAGTTTTAATTCTTCAATTGCTGCCAGAAAAAAATATTCTTTCCCAATGAGTTACCTAATTTGAACTATTCTATGATGATAGTTTTTAAAGTGCAAAAATGTTCCCTGAAGATAATAAATGATTATGACTTTACAGCACTACATTTTGGGAAAATTTGTTATGTAGTTATATACAATTAATACTGCACATAAGCAATTTTCTTATCGATTTGTTAGAGATCTTTATATTGTCAAAATTCAGTTTGCCCTTCAGTTTGTTTTCTTAATGCATGTTTTTCAAAATTTCTTTAAAAATCTCTTAGGTAAAAAATGCTTAAGTTAATTTGAAAGTTTCAAATGGAAACTTATCATAGTACATGAGCAAAAATTAAATTTTAGTTAAACAGTATGCATATATACAGTATTCATATTATCAGCACATAGAGTCAAAGGAAAGTGTTCACAAGGCAGAATTTGCTTCTATGTTTACAAGTTATGGCCAGCATGTGCACACAGATGGCCAATATTTATAAACATATGACAAATGTAAGTTCTGAAATAAGGTATATATGAAAATCAGTACATGCTTTTCCAAGTTTCCTTCACATACTTAGACTGTAGACCAGGGTGAAACGTGGTCTTCCTAATAACCTGCTGGCAAACTTTTCTGTAAAAGCCCAGATAGCATATATTTTAGGCTTTTCAAGCCATTGGATCCCTGTAGCAACTATGCAACCCTGCCTTTGTAACCACAAACAACCACAGACAATATGTAAATTAATGGGGGTGGCTGGGTCCAAATAAAAATTTATTTGCCCAAACAGGAAGCAGCCTACATTTGGCCTGCAGCCATCACTTGCCAATCCTGACCTAGATCCCCAATATTATCAATGGATAATAAACCCATATCCCAGATTCTCCAGGCCCATCACATTTTCAAACATGTTCATCCTTTTCTACACCATGTGGCAAAACTCATGTCCCAAATCCTTAAGGTTATTTCGAGGGCAACACAGAGGGTTGTAAAAGCAAACCATGCTTCAAAATTCTATAAAACATTGTGAATCACTGTCCTGGAAATAAAAGCTTCAATATTTCACAACTATTTCTAGAAACAGAAACTGAATACCCATAGCTCCTTCTGCTTTCACAGAAACAGCTAAGAAAATTAGCTTGTTTCACCATTTTGCCTATAACCAGACTTTTATAGGTTATTTGGGTCAGGTAAAGCTTTGTTCTTCCTTTCTCTAGTTTAAGGGAAAAAAATCCATTTAAAAAGTTGTCATAAAAACATATTACAGGCCGGGCGCGGTGGCTCACGCCTGTAATCCTAGCACTCTGGGAGGCCGAGGCGGGCGGATTGCTCGAGGTCAGGAGTTCAAAACCAGCCTGAGCAAGACCCCGTCTCTACCAAAATATAGAAAGAAATTAATTGACTAACTAAAAATATATATACAAAAAAAATTAGCCGGGCATGGTGGCGCATGCCTGTAGTCCCAGCTACTAGGGAGGCTGAGGCAGTAGGATCGCTGAGCCCAGGAGATTGAGGTTGCTGTGAGCCAGGCTGACGCCACGGCACTCACTCTAGTCTGGGCAAGAAAGTGAGACTCTGTCTCAAAAAAAAAAAAAAAAAAAAAAAACATATTACAGACCCCACGGCTCAATGTTTGGTTCAAAATCTTTCTTGAATCACAGGCCTCTTTAAAAATCTGATGAAGCTATTCACTCTCTCTGTGGAACAAAGAACATAAAAATTGTATATAATGTTAACAGGTTCATAGACCTCTTAGAAGCCTATTCACGTACTATGAGGTGCCCAAGGACTTCAGGTTTTTCTTTGTTCTCTCCCATTTTCTCCTTTTTTCTCCTTCTCTTCTAGTCACAGTTCTCCTTCTGCACCTAATTCTGTCTCACCAGTTTCTTCCCACAGCAATATAGAAAGAACTCAAAGAGATCTGAGCTTGAACCCCAGCTTAATCACCTACTAGTCTTGGCTTCACTGCCTTGGGGGCAAAGGACGCCAAGAAAGTGTGAGTAGTGTCAGAGAGGAAAGCAGGTCAAATTTCTGGATCACGCCACCAGAAAGAAAACTAAACTACTTTGGACCTAAGACTATCTGTGGGGTTAACTGCTAGGCCCATGTGAGAGCTCCCGACAACCTTTATAATTACATATAGTTTAAATAGTCATATTAATTGTACTTTTCAAATATAATCAGGATTCTAAACATCTGTCCTGTAGTTTCCAGAATTATCCTTATACATGCAAGATCATATGTTCTAATGTTTGCTCTCAGGGGAAAAAGCTCAGTGTAAGTAGAATGCAGCTTGCTGGATATTTTACTCTTCAGCTTTAATTTCTTCAGGACTAGGAAACTGATTTTTTTCTGTTACCTTTTGCCTACATCCTTCCTTTCTTAATTTTTCAAACCTTTGGGACTAGAGAAATAACCAAGGGAAGAAAATAAGGTGGTCATTTATTTATTTAGTCCACAAATATTGAGCACCTAAATCTACCATGCACCAGTCTAGACGTCAAAAGGCGACCCCCAAGGCTTTCATTCTGATGGGAAGAAAAAGATAACAAAATAAACATGAAAAAGTATAGTATATTATTAGTTGGTGATAAGTGCTACAGAAAAAAAAAACATACAGCACAGGCCATGAATAGAGAGTGGGGAATGAGTTGCAATCATCAATAAGCCAGGAAAGACCCACTTAAGACAGTGACATTTCAGCAAAAACCAGGTGAGAAAGTGTATCAATGTCACTGTACCACTTAAATTCTTTCCTTTCCCTTTTCACCATTTTTGTGCCATTTCCTTCCCGAAACTAGTGTGCTTTGTTCCTAACATCCAGTACCTGCAGTTTTTCTTCAGAGGACTCCTAGAGATGACACAACAGAGCATCGTCCCAGCATTGCACTTGCCCAATCCCCCCATCATAACCCCAAAGGCAGGAAAGAAACCAAACTGGAGTTGCTGCACAAAGCCAGAGAAAGAAGGTACTGGGATCCTTACTGAAGCCTCCATGTATCTTCCATTAATCCTCCACATGTCCCTGATGCTTTTATATTAAAAAAGTAATTTCATGTATCTTACCTCAAGTACCACTCAGGCTGTTATCCTTTAATGACCTCTCCTTTAGCCCTTCCCTTCAATATGATCTTCAATCTCATTAATCTCTATTTATGAGTACAAAAATATTGAAGGTGGAAGAATTGGAAAGAATATCATTTGTCCCTGGCTTTGTAGACTTCTAGAGATGTCCCAGTCCCTGCTGGCATACCGAGGATGGGGACTAAGGGCAGCCCAAGAAGGCAGCCATTCTCTTTCAGTGTCAACAATGATTTCAAGTAACTGCAGGTCAGGGAGTCCATCTGTTCTTTCTCCCTTCATAGTGGCCCACAACATTCATCAGGTGTTTGTATTAATATATTCAAGGGAGAGACTACTCACTCCATATGGTAAACCATTTACTCATGATTTTGTGTAAAGAGCCCTGAAGTAGAACAGATTGCTGCCTCAATACACGTTTATTGAGTGTCTAAAGAAGGGTCACGCCCTTATTAGGCACTGGCAATAGGAAGATGACCAATGCGGATGATGGCTGAACCTTCGCGTTCAAGGCTTTCATAATGCACTGGAGGTGGCAAACGCGGTCCAATACAAAGGGCCATACAGAGGACTACAATAGCTATTATCAAAGAGCCACGGGAGTACAATGGAAGGATTGGAGGTGGGGGGAGTTCCACGAGGGCATCACAGAGAGACCTTCGAGCTGGATGCAGAAAGACAGATGAGTTTAACCTCAGAGTGGGGACGCTCATTCCCGCTGGCGTGAAACGGATGAGCCAAGGCAGCCCTGCGGCAGCGAGCAGCTGGCACCCCCCGGCGCTGGAGCAAGGGGGTTAACATCTCTGGGCCTTGGCTCAGAAACCTGTGGCAATCGCACTCTGAAGGCGCTTGGCAAAACTGCAAAACTCGTGTTGCTTTTCGCTGAGGCTACGACCCGGCCGTTAAGGCAGGAAGCCCTGCGAGAAGCCCGTGAGGACGCAAACGCTGCAAACTGAGTCCTCCAAGCCTCCACCCTCTGCTTACTAAAGTACACACTCTAGCTCACAGAAGAGAGGAAAGAAAAAAGACCAGGGGGTGTGGGTAACCCCTGCGGAGGCGGGCTCAGCCAGAGCTTGGGCCGAGTAGCGTGAGGCCCGCTCGGCCGCAGAAGTGCGGCCTCGCCCCGGAGCGATTCCCGCCGTCTCCAGGCCCCGCACGCGGAAGCCGAGGCCCCCACCGCCCCTCAGCACGGTTCGGCACTCCGCCGCAGCCCCAGTCGCCCCGGCCGCTCCAGAGCCTCACGGCCGCGAAATCCGGGCCTATCCCACGGTCGGGCCTCCTCCGCCCTCCTCGTCGTGACGAATCGGCGCCCGGCTGGGAAAATATCCAAATTCGGGGAGTTTCGAGGAAACTGTGAGGCCTGAAAAAAATCCTTGACTGTACTAAGCGTCATTGCGTCCTCGCTAGAAGGCTTATTTTTCTCAAAAGAGTCAAGTAGGGCCCAGAAAAATAATTAAGAGGAGTGTGGAAAGTGCGAGTGCGGAAGCTCCGGACGCGAGGGGCGGGGCGTGCGCCGGACAAAGGGAAGCGAAGCCGGAGCTGCGGGCGCTTTTTCTGCCCGCGGGTGAGTGTTTTCAAGTGGGCCGGACCGGGTCGGAGGGGGCGAGTGGCGGTGTCCCCGCTTGGCTGGAACCCGAGTTCCGCGGGGTTGCTGGGGTTCAGGCTTGGCCGTGGAGCCAGAGCTGGGAGCTGGTTGCGGCCTCCTTGAGGCCTAGCGGAGCGAGGGTTGGGGGACAGCCCCATCTGGGGCCCCTTCTTGGAGGCAAGATTTGCTTCCTACACTAACCTCCCGAAATTGGTCAAAGCACCTTGTGCATACTCACCTTTAGGGGAATTTCTAGTAGAGTGCATCCTCCAAGACAAACTTACAGGAAGCCCTAAGGGGCAAGGCTAGCTGGCGGTTCTCACCCCCAGGAAGGTAGTTCCCCCTCTGGTCGGCAGCGACTAGAGGACTCACGGTGTGACTGGGAGTGAAGAGCAAAATCTCCGAAACAGTTTGGCCCTGGTTTGAAACCCAACTCTGGCCCTTCCTCGCTGTGTGACTTTAGACAAGTCACTTACATTCTCGAAGACTCCCTTTTACTTCTGTAAAATTAGGATAGCAGGACACATCTCAGAGTTGTGACTGTTCAGTGTTGTAGTGTAATAAGCCTATCCCACATAAGGTATTTATTCAACAAATACAGAGTATTTTATGGCAGGCACCAAGGATGGACTATATTCTGGCAAAGGAGAGCAATAATTTTAAAGTATTAACAATAAAGTATAATGTACAGGGAGCTTGTGGCAGTTGTCAGCGCTCCCCACAGCAAGGCCGGCTGGATGTTGACAGCTCCCTTAATGTGAGCAGGAAGGAAATGTACACTAGAGTCAAAGGTTTCTGGCTGTTCTTTAAGGAAAGACAAAAAACCCAGGTTAGACCATTGAGAAAATAAAATGTTATTTGCTTTCTTTCTAAAACTGAATTTTTTTTCTCTTTGTACCTTACTGTTTGTGGTGTATATTGGCATAAAAACAAGCTCACATGTGTCTGGTCGTGTTGTGAGCTGGTAATTTAGGTCTAAATTTCTTAAGAATTGAGCTAGATACTTGGAATACAGTAATAAATTAGGTGATCCCTGTTCCCAAGCAGCACACAATCTAGCTATATTGATGGTTAAAAATGTTATAATAAGCAATATCATAGATCTGCGTAAACAGGATGGGAATACAGATGAAGAGGAACGATTAATTCTGCCCAGGTAATTTATCAAGAAAGCTCCATTGAGGATATCAATTTTGAAATGGGCTGTGAAGGATGAATAAAAGTTTTTCAGGTAGATTCTCAAAATTGATTCCCAGCACTTTTGAAGTTATCTACCATTATAAGAGAATGTGAAGCTCATTATCATCCCAGTTACCTTTTCTACTGCTTCTAGGAATAAAATGCTGCCCTATGTTGATAAAAGTTGTTACCCTGAAAGGGTAGAGCTGCTGGTCAGGGAGCTGTCAGTATCTGGTAGGCCTTGTTGGGGTGGACACACATCACATTCTATTGTCATTATCTTTTTATCAGTCTTATTAAATGTTTACATTACATCAGCAAAATGTTTTTCATACAAGAGGTAGCTTAGTATCATAAGAAAAAACCTGATAGTATATTTCTAAATATCCCAGTAACTTGTTTTAGTCATTTAATTCTCATCAACCAAATGACCTACAAGAATAAGTAAAATATGCAAAAGGCTTGATTACTGGGAGATAAGGTGAAGTAATTTTACTCAGAAATACCAATTAAATTTCCCTATTCTTTAGGAAGACATTCTCATGCTTGCTGAGTTTTGATTCTCTTTTTTTTTTCCTTTTTTTGTTTTTTTTTTTATTTTAGTGTCTCAGATTCATTCTTAAGGAACTGAGAACTTAATCTTCCAAAATGTCAAGTAAGTTTCAATTTTTATATTTATCAATCTATGTTAATAAGAGACTAATGCCCTAGCAAATGGGAATTCCAAAATACTCTCATTTTTTTTTCTTCAAAACAGGACCATTGGTAGTTTTGTTGCATAGCATTATATCTCAGTTGTTTACAAGAAGTTATTTATTTTCTTTCAAACAGAAAGACCATCTTATGCCCCACCTCCCACCCCAGCTCCTGCAACAGTAAGTTTTAATTTTCTTGTTAATGTAATAGCCAAGTCTGGCCTTGATACAAAAACCCAGATGTCTTCCAGTGACAGTCACTCAATCATCACAGCAACAGGATGAAAATTTCAGCTAAAAAAACAGCACTTCCTACTAAATAAAATAATTCTTTACATCTTACCTTGAACCAACCCCAACATTTAAGGAAACATACTGTGAAATTCCAACCTCCTGCACTCTGTTTGTTTTTTTTTAAATGGGAAATAAGTGACAAGTTTAACACTTCTTATTAATCTTCACTATTCAGAGTCTTTAAGTTGATATTGAGTGAATGCTCATTGTGGCATTTATTTTTTTAAAAAACCTAACCTTCAGCTGGTTACATTTTTCTCTCCTTTCTTGTCTCTATATAAAATTTTCATGTTAAATCAAACAATAAGCTTCTAGTTCTATAATTACACTCATTGTAAATCATTATTTTCAAGCTGTTCAAGTAAGGATTTCATTACCTATGGGTCAGATCTTGCTATTGAATCTTATTCCACTCTATAAATTACATTTTATCAGTTTGGAGATATGTATGTTTCAAGGTATCTAAAAAATAGTTGTGAACTCGTTTTTCCACCCAGCAATCTCTGGCCCAGCTTGGTCAGCATGTAAAATAATTTTCCAACCCACAAAACGGATTTAACAGGAACTGTTCAGGCCTTGCTGAAATGGCTTCCTTGTTGGTTTTTTGGGTGGGTTTTTTTTGTTTGTTTGTTTTTGTAAAACACTGTTAACATGACCATACCCTACAAAATCAGTTCTTTAATAGCGGCTAGTCCTTCCTTCCATACCCCCTACTACCTAAATTTCAGGCTAGTCTACTTTTCACTACTAATTAGGTGCTTGTGTAATTTTGTTTTCTCCATTAGATAACAACCACTCTTACTAACCCTCAGATATATGTTTCAGTTACATTTATCAACAATTTGGTTTTTTTTTTAGTGAGATGCTTTAAAAAGAGATACTGTATCATACGTTCTCGGTTCAATTTCTATAATATATACAGTACAGTCTTCAAAGTTAATTCCGGTAGATCTTAAAGTCCTGTGCTTGGTTTGTTTTCTTTCTTAAATCAAAAAACCATTTCTTATGACCATCTCCATGGCATTCTACTAGTGGCTATACAGGTGGAGTTGAACAATTGAGATTCTGACCTCAAAGACCCAACCATGTACTTCAGCTTTGGAAATGGTATAATTATATTGTTTTAATTTCAATTGTTTTTCTTAGTACCCTTATTTTTCTTACATTATTGCCTTAGTATGTTAAACAGTGATTCTCATTGTTTGTGCAACCTTTGGAGGTGTCATTTTGATGTAAATACTGTTTCCAACAATGTATAATATCCTGAGGACAAACTGGATTTTTTGAGATTAAAATATTTCAAAAACCAAGTGTCCCCTTATGACTTCTCATATGTAGAAAGGGATTTTTTTTGCCTTTTTTTAGTTATATTTCTGTGCCTTTATAATTTCACATTAACACACAAAATATAGAAGACTAGGGATTAGAACATCCAACAGAATGGATACTAAATGAATTATTCTCCTTCCTTTTACCCATTATCTCTACCACAACCACCACCACCACCACTACCACCACCACCCCCACCCCCACCCCACCCCAATGTACCACTCCAAGTAATATACACTTCTTTTGTGCTTTCAATACTTCATCTGTGTTTTGCCTACTTACATATGCTTGATTTGCGTCTTCTCTAACTATATAGACTAGAAATTGATCAGTCGTTCTCTTTTCTCCCAAAGAGTATCAGATGTTATATCTGCTTGAATATCTTTCTTTCGGGACACTAAGGATATGTGCAGCGGCATGTTTTAGGAAGCTGTGTTTTGTATCACCTACAGCTTAGTTGGAATGTGTTAAGTGTATTTTCCATTAAACAATTAAGAATTGTTTGTTATTGTTAATTGCATGTAAAAATGAAGTTACTGTCACTTGTTTTGATTGAGTTTCATAGGTAAAACACCCTGGTCTCTCTTTGCTACATTCTTTTTATGCATTTGCCTTGGTTCTCATGAACATTGAATGTCATTGTATTAACCACAAGGCCACTGCTATATAAGAGCCCATTTGTGATTACATCAACACATAATTCACAAAAAACAAGAGTTCTGTTGCTAAAATGAGCAGTTGTGTTTTGAAAGGGTGAGAGCTATCAGGAAACTAGATGAAAAAAAGAAAGTTCAAGTCTATCAACTAGAAAAGTAGTTCACATTAAGATTAAATGCAGAAATTGTTCATGATTGACCTATGGAAGATGGATCAAAGAAGAAATGGAAGAGAAATCCTATAAAAGAAAGACTGGGTTAAAAAGATCAGATAGTACCCCAGAATAAATCCATGCATTTCTTACAAGTCTTTGTTTTGAAATCATACATGTTACATCCATTGAATCCAACATATGTTCTTTTCAATTGACAAATCCTGGCTTCCTGATTTGAGTCTCTTCTCATTTCTCACATTACATAAAATGGTTTAAAACTGTCTTTGAAAGCAGATCCATTTCTTGTTTTCATTTGTTTTTAGTAGATGAATACATTGGTGGCATCCACGTAACTGTCAAATAAATTGTGTTTTGTTTTGCATGTAGTGTTTTCAGAGTTCTAGTTTATCACACGTCAAGTCTTCCTATCTCAGACATCATATACCACTAAGTTGTTACATCATACTATTGACCATAAAGTAATCCTGAATGTCGGAAACACTTGATTGTATTGCTTATCGCAAAAAACAAGCCACATGTGTTCACACTCACACAGACACCCCAGCCCCTGCAAAAAAGAAAAAAAGAAACACTTGCAGACAGGTTTTTCAATGAAAGAAAAATTGAATTTCCTCAATGAAAGAACAATTACAACACATCATTGCTTGTTTAAATTCAGGTTGCTTTTGCATGCCATATGCAGATCATTTTTCATTTCTGTGTTTTCCTCGTTTGAGCTCATTTCTCATTCGTGTTTTTGTCTCATTTGTTTCCATCAGCAAATGCCCAGCACACCAGGGTTTGTGGGATACAATCCATACAGTCATCTCGCCTACAACAACTACAGGCTGGGAGGGAACCCGGGCACCAACAGCCGGGTCACGGTAGGAGAATCAACTATTACAGCATCCGGCAAACAACTGGAATTAACCAGAAATGCCTTCAGAGTTAGGTCCTTTTGAATCATGAGCACAGCCATTAAAAAAAACTTTTTTAGCCTGGCTTTTTGACTATTTTAAACATTCGTCGCACGATCTTACACTGAGAAAATAGTGAGATCTGGATATGTGTGTGGAAGAAAAGAAAAATCCATTCTGTTTGGTGGTCAGTAGGGATAAAGCCTTGAGCACTTAATGCTTATACTGTGTGTGGACAAACCGAAAATTTCTTGTGGTTTCAATACCCTTTTTGAAATGAAGAATATCTTTCATTTTTTAAGGTAATTGGCATTAGTCTCAAGGACTCAGTTTCTTAATAAAGGCTGGGCTTTCAGACCTGGCTTTTTCAGGGCTGGAAAGCTTTTGGCTGGCCTGGCAGTTTGAATTGCTATACATAATTATTTGTCTTTTGGATTTAGTAGTTCACTTTCTAATTGAGACTCATTTCTCTCTAATTACAAAGAGAAAAAGATTTTAATATCACCTCAAAGAATTGCAGAATAAAAGTTGAATGAAATTAATTTGAAGTATCAAACTAGATATGTACAAAAAGTACATTTCTAATCCATACTATGAGAGAGATGATTTCTGAAATTTAGGATGTTTTATTTAAGTGATCCATCTAAGATGTCAAAATTGGATAATATACTTCAAAGTTTTTATTTTGGGATCATCTTAAACTTCAAGGAAGTTTAGGTACCATTAAAAGCAAGAACTGTAAAAATGACTTACTAAAAATAAATAAATCCAAAAGTCAAATATTTAACATACATTGAAATGTGTTGTTGGTGAGAATTTATACAACCCAGAATGGCTGTATACTTTTTAATACCTAGTTTTCATTTGATATATTCATAAATAATAATTACCTTCTATGAATATAGCTTCAAAAAAGCCCTCTCACCCTGTAGTCAAGCTAGAACTGAAAGTTTGTAGCTATCAAACTGAATGTCTATCTTGGTAAGCATATTGCTTAGCTTGATAGGTTTTGTTTGTCTAAATTTTTCATTGTTTCTGCATAATTTGTACTTCATAAGCATATCAAGTTTTATGTGCCATGCATATTTCATGGTATCTGAAAAGAATTTTGACAAAGTGTGTGTATGTATGCATTTCACAATGCATACAATTTTTATGTGCATCAGTACATGTTTTTCCCTGGCCTAAATGTGTTGTTTCACAAGTGTAATGGTTGGCGAGGTTTTCAAATGATAAAGAACATTTTAATTTAAACAATGGGCAGAATCGATTATGGATCATTCATGTTAATGTACAAATTCATGGGTAGTAAACAAGAGAATGATTACATTTAATAGCTCTATACAGTCACCTCTTGATTATCTATGTTAATGGAATAGAAATGGTAACTATAATATTAAAATAATGTGGTTTTGGTTTATATAAACATTTTGTTTTTCACTTGAATGTAGCTGTGTGGGATTCACCGTTATAAAGTCAGATCATTCCATGGAGACTTACTAGGAAAAGAAAGTGCCCTCACTGTCTCTGGGCCTGGGTCAGTCATCTGTTTCTTCCCATCCCTTCCTGGTGAACGTTAAGAACCCAACATTTGGAGTGAGCACTACTTCAGGGTAGATTAGTATAGAAAGTTGTTGGGCATGCAGAAATTTGGTGGTTTGGTCCTTTGTGGTGGTTTTCTTTGTATTTTTGTCCTCTTAACACCAGATTGAGGTATAATCAAACTGCCTAGAAAATTTTCAGGTTTTACACTATCTTTTTTTATATATCTAATTTAAGCAGTGTTAGAACTCAATGATGCTGATTTTGGCTATTACAAAAGTATTTTAATTTTAATATGACCCCAGTTATGCATTACTTTTGGGAGGACTTCTATTTGATGGTGGTGTCTGCAAATTGCCTTACTGATTTGCAGGAATAGTTCTGTGAAGCCCTGTGAAGTAGCTTTCTGACTATACAGAATGTTGGGTTTCCCTGATGACTCCAGTATATGTAGCTAGTTTTCAGACAATAAATACTTTTGGAGTGCTTATGATAGCTATGAGTTGGAATTGACTCATAATCACTTCTTTATTCAGATCATAATTAGCATTCTCTTAGTACAGGTGTGAAAACAGATTGAGACAAAAATGTTAAAAATAGCATATTTCTGTACTTTAGTGGAAATTCTATCTCAGAGGAAACCCCTTAAATAAGACCCTACCAGAGAAACAGCTGAGAATTAGGAAAGAAACAACAAAAAACTCTGAGTAGCCAAGGTAACTTACACAAAATCATGGGACAATACTCGTAGGAGATTTCCTAGAACCTTATTCTTAAGTAAGCAGTTTCCCTCCAACTCGTTGCAAATTGGAAGGAGAAAATTGGAAAGAGGGAGAGTTGCTGCTAGAGGTGGGTTTGCCAGTAGCAACAAGGAAAGAAAGAGATCAAAAAAGGAAACACACACTCCAAGAGCATAACCCTTGGGCCATTTAGTTAAAGAGGGTTACAGCATAGCAAAGCAGTGGTTATTTCTAATTGAATCTTACTAAGAAAAAGTTAAATTGTGTTCAACTTTTTTTTAAGGAGTAAAGAAATGTTTAAGACATTGTAGAAAGATGGCTGTCTGAGATGTTAAATAAATTGGGGGTATGTAATGATATAAATCTTCAGCATCCTGAAAACCAGCTGGAATTTCACTTCGTTATTGTTTTGGGGTAGGTTTTTGCTAGCGGTGGGGGGGTGTAAGTTGACTGGTCAATGTAATAAATATGTGGCCTAAATATATAGCTGATTTGTGTAACTTCCTTTGGAAGAAAGGAGAGAAAATAAGTAAATCTGTTAATATTATAAAATGCAATTCTTTGAAAAATATCAAAGAGCAAATATTACTATGTTTTTTAAGTCTTTTAATTCATACTTAAAGCTTGGAAGCAGAAGCATTGTAGAATTCTTTACATCTAATTTTTTAAAAAATTATTTGCAGTAGTCTTACCACCTTCAATTATGGGCACAATTCCAACTTTATTCATAACCCACTTCATGGAATTCTAAAGGTTTTTGTTGGGTGTGAATTGGAAATGTTTTCAAATAACTTCATGTGTGAAGAACCAGACTTTTACGTGTCTCTTCCTCTGAATCCATAACTAAGGTTAGCCTCATAGGAATTCCCCTTTCCCTTGAAAGAACTCCTATAAACTCTGATACAGATCCTTCCCCTATTGCCTGTTCAGCCACCACTGTTGACAGTTTCCATCCCATGGCTCCCCTCACTCATTGCCCACTGTTGGCTAAAAACAGGGTCTGTGTGTGTGGGCACTTGCCAGCATGAGGTGTGGTAAGAATGCATGGGAGGAATAAAAAGAGAAGAAATGCTACTTCAAAGGTGAAATGCTTTCTAACAACTTCGTATGTGAAGAAGCAGAGTTATTAAAAAGTATACAGGGAAGGAGGGAGACCCTTGTAGAAATAGGAAGCATTTCTTGATTACAGTGGAAAGGGGCACAAATTTGCTAATTTGTGAGCCCTTGAATGAAATCAAGGTTATAATTGATTCCAGCCCAAAATGGAGGCGTGTCCCTGGAGTATTATCACAGCAGCAGAAAGGGGAGAGAACAAAATGTCATTTTAGTTTTCTTATGAGGGTTTGCCAGTCTGTGTTCTGATAATTAGAATAAAGCCAGCACATCTTTCTCCCAGCCTGACAGGGAAAGTCGGTATCAGGGATCTCCCAGAAATTTGGAAATTAAGTGTGATTCAGCCATTATTTTTCTTATTCTGGGTTCTTAATCAAATGCAGTCATGTATGATAAGAGGAGACTAAAAAGTTCAGAAATAGTCATTCTTGAATTGGCATTTTCTGTAATGTCCACCAGAAGCTGTGTGGTATCTCTCACCTAGATCTCAGATCATAGAAAGAACTGATCACTCAATCTTTCTCTTTCCTTCCTTCCTTATTTTTTCTCACCTACTTTTTTCTTTACCTTTAAAAAAATATTTTTCAGTCTTCTCCCCTCCCCCTCCTTTTCTTCTGTCTCCCTTTTCCTTCACATCCCATCTTTACTTTTCCTCTTGTGTCTTTCCCACAAAACCAAAAATTTTTAATGGAATGGAGCTTCTTGATATAAGACCTCAAAAATAACATAATCAGACCCCGTGTCTGCCAGTTCTCCTCTGTTCCTGATAAACTTGTTTGCTCCTACACTGTGATTAGGACTAAGGACAAAGAACAGTGTGACTTTGGTTCACTCTTCTTGATTTCGTTTATGAGACATCCGCTAGATAACAGACATAGAACCTCAAGAGAAATAAAGTCTCTGGTCGGGGTAAAGGATACAAGAAGGTCTGTTTTTTCTTTTTCTTTCCTTTTTTGTTTTTGTTTTCATTTTCGAACCTGGGAGGTAGTTTTGTGTTGTTGTTTATGTGGGGGTGCATTTCTGACACAGTGCTAATAGATACAGAGTCCCCTGTAGGCAGTGTGAGTGTGTTAAGTGCTTAAGGGTTCAGATTCTGCTGCAGATAATCAAGTGTTGACTGTATGTATAATGGTCATTGGGCAAAATAAAGGGTGCCAGGTAATGTCCTAAATACGAGACTCTTGATAACTATATGTTTTCAATGTATGGATTATTATGTAATATTTTATTTGTTCTTACAGCCAAGTTGTCAAAGCAGTGGCAACTGCTTAAGTAAAATATTGAAAAATTATGTGCTTAAAGTCATTTTCTTTTGATGTGAACGTTTCTGAATTTGCAGTGATAGCTATTTTCAGTGGAGAATATGTAAGAATCTTGTATCCATGGACCAGTAGAAGAAAGGCGCGTTAGAATTTTTTAAGGGACTCTCTTTTCAGTTTGCTGGTGAACTCCTTGCAATTGAATAATGAGTGTATTTAACTCTTTTGTAGGCATCCTCTGGTATTACGATTCCAAAACCCCCAAAGCCACCAGATAAGCCGCTGATGCCCTACATGAGGTACAGCAGAAAGGTAGGAGTGAGGACTGCTGTCTTTACTACCTTATTTCTTTGCTTTGCATCTGATTTCAGATTGGCTTAGCCAGCTTTTCTGTGCATATTCAGAAAAAAGGACAAAAATTATAGTTTTTAAAGCAATTAGTTCTGATTTTAAAACTCCAGAACTAAAATCCAGCAAGAAGAACATGATTAAATAAATGATTAAAATTGTTAAGATAGAATGTTTGTAGCCATAAAAGTAATGCCTTTTGCAGAATATTTAATGACATGAGAAACATGTTAAGTGAAAAAAGGAATACACAAGATAGACAACATGTACTAGTATCTTATTTTTATAAAAATAATAGCAACCATATGTTATTTTGAAGGGGAAAAAAAGCCAGAAGACAATGGTTATCTCTTAAGCAGTAAGCTTATGGTAATTTTTATTTTCTTTATACTTCCTTGAATCTTCCAATTTTCTTGGTGATGAACCTACATTATTCTTTAAAAATATAGATTATATCTTTATTAAAAGGCAGAGCATTTTAATTACTACCAGAAATTTTTAAACTTAAGCTTATAATTACATATATTTGAAAATATTGTTATGCAAATTAACCACTTTTCTTCCAGATTCACATGAACTTTTAGAAACATAGACTATATTATTCAGTTAACATACTAAATGTCTGTATTGATGGGAGATATTCTTGGCCTATCAAGTTGAAGTATTTATGAGTGAAGTGACATGATATCTGAGATCTACCTTAAAGTAATCCAACATAGTAAAGATGAAATGAGATGGGCCAGCTGTTGATAATTGTTGAAGCAGGCTGATGAGTACATAGGAATTTGATACCATTCTCCCTGCTTTTATGTTTAAAAGTTTGCACATTAAAAAGCATTTTGTGCCGGGCGCAGTGGCTCTCGCCTGTAATCCTAGCACTCTGGGAGGCTGAGGCGGGCAGATTGCTCGAGGTCAGGAGTTCGAAACCAGCCTGAGCAAGAAGAGCGAGACCCCGTCTCTACTATAAACAGAAAGAAATTAATTGGCCAACTAATATATATAGAAAACCTTAGCCGGGCATGGTGGCACATGCCTATAGTCCCGCTACTTGGGAGGCTGAGGCAGGAGGATTGCTTGAGCCCAGGAGTTTGAGGTTGCTGTGAGCTAGGCTGACGCCATGGCACTCACTCCAGCCTGGGCAACAAAGCGAGACTCTGTCTCAAAAAAAAAAAGCGTTTTGTGAAGTCTATATCAGTCATTTTTCTAAGTTTATATTAGGCATCAGTATTGAAATTTCAACTCTTTCCTTTTTAAGGTCTGGGACCAAGTAAAGGCTTCTAACCCTGACCTAAAGTTGTGGGAGATTGGCAAGATTATTGGTGGCATGTGGCGAGATCTCACTGATGAAGAGAAACAAGAATATTTAAACGAATACGAAGCAGAAAAGGTAGGGTGGGGGCTGCAGTGGGATGGATACAGTGTAAAGTACATAGGCATTAGCTTTATTATTTGTTAAAGAAATGTAAGATTCGATCAGAAAGCTGAGGCTACACTGAGGCTCTGTCTGCCTGGGTCATCACTTAATTTCTCTAGGCCTCGGATTCTTGTCTGTAAAAAGGAGATTATCCCAATACCTGCTTACATCATATCTTTTGATGTTCAAATGAGATAATATAGGTCTACATTGTAATCTGCAAAATGTTAATTATAAAACTGAAAAACGTTTGAATTTCAGATAGAATACAATGAATCTATGAAGGCCTATCATAATTCCCCCGCTTACCTTGCTTACATAAATGCAAAAAGTCGTGCAGAAGCTGCTTTAGAGGAAGAAAGTCGACAGAGACAGTCTCGCATGGAGAAAGGAGAACCGTACATGAGCATTCAGCCTGCTGAAGATCCAGATGGTAAGAAAAAACAAAAGTGGGGTTTATGCTTTATCTGAGAATTAGAACATGAGAAATTGTATAAGTTTTTATTTATCCTAAATGGGGAAAAAACATAATTTAAGGGCCATTTCACTATCTTGATTATTTTGAGTAAGATTTATATGTGAATTTCCCACAAGAAATATCCTTTTCGGTCCAAAAAATAGCAAAAGCTATTCATCGTTCATCAAAATATGTGTACTCAGAATGCATGATAGGTTTTTGATTCACAATCGGGTTTTGTGTCAGCTGCTTTTATAAAGCTAAATGCATTCTAGTTATAACCTGTTTTCTTATTGGTTCCCTAAATCCGCTGAATTAAAATATCTTAAGGGAAAAGGTAAAGGAGTATATAGAAACATTATGAAATTTCCTTTCTATTTAATTCAGAAATCCAACAAGAATTTATTTATAAATATAGCTCATGATACCACCCATGAGGGTATACCCATATAAATTTTATACATACACACAAATCGCAGAGCTTCCCAGTTGGCATTCCATGAATAGTTTACAGGTGTGCAGATTGTGCTTCTGGTCCTCTGCAGCCAAGCAGGGTCTGAAGCTGCAGGAAGCCCGAGAGATCGCTACCGCCAGCTATGAGCACACTCATCTACATATCTAGCATGTGGTATAAATATTAATATTTTCTCTCTGTGCTACTATGTTGTGGGAATGGTTGAAAGCTCTAGCTAAAAGCAACAAAAATCTCAAGAAAATAATTTGAGATCCAATCTTAAAGGGGCAGTAGCAAAGAGGAAGCTTGTAAGAACTGCAAAGAAGATATCAGTGAGGGAGGAAGCAATATTGCCATCTAAAGACATGAATAAATTGATAAAAGGAGGGGAAAATAAAAATACTTCTTTAAAAGAATGGACTGGGATATTAACAAATGTTCTCATAAATACAGAATAGAATATGATAATAAAGAGAACAGAATGTAGAACAGAAACAGCATTGAGTGCTAAGCAGAATCAGCAGTGCTAAAGACACATTAGCGTAAGTATACCTTAACTACTCAAAGGAGATGAGTAATGCAAGGGAAAGATACAGAACCAAGGAGTAGAAGAAGGCCCAATCTGTGAATATTGGGAGTAGGGGGTGGGGGCAGTGTAAGAAGAAACAAAGGCTTGCAACATAGAAACCGTAAGTAGAAAATGGTTTTCATTAACAGCATAAACATTGATGGACTGAAGAGATTCACTCAGTTTAAAATCAGATCTTAAAGCTGCCAGTAAGAAAGAACAGGTAGTAATTAAGATGCCACTATGAGAATGACTTTAGACCTGGCACCCCTTAGACTGAATAGAAAGAAGAAGATTTGGGAGGTGGAAATGCACATAAAACCAAGAGAAAGGTAGCATCTGCATGAGTAAACAGCTGCTGACTTCTTTAACAGAGAGCTGTCAAAAGATGGACAGGACACATGCAATTATCCATACAAGACGGTGAAGGCGTTTTTCAGTGAGAAACTATTCATGGGATAAATAGCTGGTGAATTAGATAATTACTAGAAAAGATAAACCCCTCCCCTACCCCCCCCAAATAGAAAGCAGACAACTAAAGTACAATGAAGGACAAGCCCAAATTGCTTAGACTTTATTTCCCTTACCGATGGTCAACATTGAGGCCATGAAAATGAAAGAAGAAAGCAAACAGCAACAAAAAAGGATAAAGTAAGCACACATGTATCATATATAACCTTAGATGTAGAAAACTCTAGCTTAAAAAGTAAAATGGTTACAGAGTAAAAAGAAAAACAAAAACACTGTATCTTACTCCCGTAGTTTTAAATTTTAGAAGTATAATGGAGGTGTTAAACTACAACATAGCAGCACAACGTGGGCCTCTGTAGCAGATTTTCCTGAAGTGTGAACTCTGCACTCTGGTGGGACACTGAGATGATTAGGTGGTTCAGAGGGAAACCTTTGTTTTAGTGTATATTGCTTAAGAGAAAGCTGGGTTTTTAAAAGTAATTTAAAGAAAAATACTAAGTGACTACTAGTACAGGTTGTTAGCAGGTAAGTGAAAACTGTGAAGGTAATAGAGCATAGGCTGAGACTAAGGAAACACTGTTGGGTTGCTACTAAAAATGAGCATATAAACCAGACCCAGCCTATGTGTATATGAACTTGGGTAATACCATTACCCCTTGACAACAACTGGGTAAGTGATAAAGTGACAAAATTTAAAAGTAAATTTGGAATCAAATTTTTTTTCCATAAAATTGCTTTAAGTCCCCTAATGGTTTTTTAATCTAATAAAACGTAAATGCTGGGAAATTGAATATTGCTAGAGATGTCTTCTCTGCTGTGATAAGTTAATTTTACAAATGGGCATCTTTATTAATTTTAAAGTGCAACAATGACAAAGATACCACCCAGTTCATTTATTGTTCATCAGTTATAAAATGCCTCAAATTACTACCAAGAAAGTGAAACATTGGGCAGAATTTCAGTTACACATTTCATCATGTGTAGCCTTCACTTTGATTGTGAGGCCAAAAGAGACATGGTTATATCTGATTTGTGTTTTAGCCAAATCCTTTTCAGACATATATCATTACTTAAAGATTGTAAGAAAAACTAATACCTTAGCCAATGGACACATTATGTCCTGTGTATGGTTCTTATGAAGTGCCTGCCCCAGTGCTCTCATGATACTGGTCTGGCTCACTTGTTAGGCCAGCGAGGGCCGTAGTTCCTTGGTAATTGTTAACGTTGTTACACTCTCCTGTTTATGGTAACTGGTGACCTAATTTCCAGAACAATGTGTTCATTCCAGATTATGATGATGGCTTTTCAATGAAGCATACAGCCACTGCCCGTTTCCAGAGAAACCACCGCCTCATCAGTGAAATCCTTAGTGAGAGTGTGGTGCCAGACGTTCGGTCAGTTGTCACAACAGCCAGAATGCAGGTCCTCAAACGACAGGTCCAATCTTTAATGGTTCATCAGGTACATAACATTTGTTATAATAAAATGGGCCTATGCCAAAAATCCCAGATGACATGATATTTTTTTTTCCCTGAGACAGAGTCTTGCTCTGTCAACCAGGCTAGAGTGCAGTGGAGTCATCAGAGCTCACTGCAACCTCAAAGTCCTGGGCTCAAGTCATCCTCCTGCCTCAGCCTCCTCAAAAGCTGGGACTACAGGTGGGCACCACCACGGCTGGCTAATTTTTCTGTTTTTGTAGAGAAGAGGTCTCGCTCTTGCTCAGGCTGGTCTCAAATTCATGGCCTCAAACAGTCCTCCTGCCTTGGCCTCCCCGAGTGCTAGGATTACAAGCATGAGCCACCGCACCCAGCCAACATGATTCTTATACCATTCATAAATATACCTGTTAAATATTTCAATCTTACCTGTTCCTGATTTGGGGAAGAGGTTTAAGGGAATGGACTTTTCCCAGAGGTTTAATAAGTTTATCATTAAAAACTATAACATAGAACCCTATAGTGGAAAGTATATTCATTAAGAAATAATTTTGAGGTATCCTATCAATCTTTACTGCTTTACTAATTTTTTTTTTCCCAAAGGAATTGCTCAGGCCTGAAACAGCTTTAACATTGACTTGTTTATCATAGTTGTCCATTTATGCTGCATTTTGGTTTTTTTAAATCTTAGCTAGACTCCTATAATAAATTATTTAAATTAAAAATTCAAAACATTATTTGACATAGTATTTGAAAGTATGGACCATATAAAATGAGACATTTTCTGTGTTTTGTATTTGCTTTAGAGAAAATAATTGATCCTGATTATATGTCTTCCAGCGCAAACTAGAGGCTGAACTTCTTCAAATAGAGGAACGACATCAGGAAAAGAAGAGGAAATTCCTGGAAAGCACAGATTCATTTAACAATGAACTTAAAAGGGTATCCATTTCCTGTACTAACTATACTTTCATCATTGTGCCCACTACTTTATTTTTCCTCATTCTTTTTTCTAAAATAGTGTTTTTATTGAAAGTTCGCTTTGAAACAGGGTTAACTTTGCAATATAATGTGTAAAATTTTTGTTTTATAAAATCATTTCCATTTTCTGGTAAAACTGCAATAAATTTGAAATATATAGTATACACATATGTATGAGGCCTATAAATGCTAGAGCTCTCTGATGTTTTAATTTAAATGCCCACATATGAATTATTTTCACTTAATTATGATTTGTAGATCAAATGTTTTCATGAGATGTAATTCATGGTTTGCACTTTGCATTAAAACAAGTAAATCTAGCATTTGGTAGCCTGAAATTAAAGTGGAAGCCTTGCGTATAATCCAGAAGTTTCACTATTGCCTCCCCAACCACTCTGTAATATCTGATATTACATAGCTACTGGAAAAACTTTCTTTACTTTCAGGTACAAGAGTTTCAGAGAAGAACTAAAACCATTCTTTTTCTCCAATATACATATATATTAATATATACTATAGATAGCTTATAGGCAAGAAAACCCGCTTTCAAAACATTTTTCTGATTCAAAGATTATATGAAAAGAATACCACTAGCTGGGTTTGGTGGCTCACACCTGTAATCCTAGCACTCTTGGGAGGCTAAGGCAGGTGGATCAGTTGAGCTCAGGAGTTCGAGACCAGCCTGAGCAAGAGCAAGACCCCATCTCTACTATAAAAATAGAAATTAGCTGGACAACTAAAAGTATCTATATAAAAAATTAGCCGGGCATGGTGGTGCATGCCTGTAGTCCCAGCTACTCGGGAGGCTGAGGCAGTGGGATCACTTGAGCCAGGAGTTTGATTGCTGTGAGCTAGGCTGACGCCACGGCACTCTAGCCTGGGCAACAGAGTGAGACTCTGTCTCAAAAAAAAAAAAATACTACTAAGATAGTTTATTTTTCTCTGACAACTAGTTGTGCGGTCTGAAAGTGGAAGTGGATATGGAGAAGATTGCAGCTGAGATTGCACAGGCAGAGGAGCAAGCCCGCAAAAGGCAGGAGGAAAGGGAAAAGGAGGCAGCAGAGCAAGCGGAGCGCAGTCAGAGCAGCATTGTTCCTGAGGAAGAGCAAGTGGCAAATAAAGCTGAGGAAAAGAAAGATGACGAGAACATTCCAATGGAGACAGGTAACCCACTGGCGACACAAAGGAAACGTCAAGCCTTTGTACAGCTGCCTTTATTTATTTTTTTTCTTTCTAAATACTGTTCAGAGGTCAGTCTATTAATCTTGCCTCTTGAGCTGTTCTCTGACCTACGCAATTCTTTCCAAATCTTAATCTCTATAGTAGATTCACTTAAAATGTTGTTATCAGCAGTGGTGTGTTGTCTTCATTCTTGCTATTTGAGGTCTTGATTATGTGCCCAGATTGAGTCATGCCATTTTCTGGTTTGAGAATATAAAGTAGAATGGTATAATGGTTAAGGACCTGCCTGGCTATGGAGTCAGACAGATCTGGATCTAATACTACTACTTCACCACTTGCTAGCACTACAACTTTGGATAAATTATTTAATCTCAGTTTCCTCATTTGTAAGTATTCTAGTACTTGCCTCTGAGAGTGAGTTCCAGTACTGGATTTGACATGATGTTGACATTCAGTGTTTTAACCATTATTGCTTATATTATTTCAACAAAATGTGGTTATTGCTCTTAAGATTGATCATCTTTGATTTCCTAGGACAGCATTCAACAAAGTAATACTTGCAGGCCAATCCTGCCTGTTACCTGTTTTTGTAAATAAAAGTTTTACTGGAAGACAGCCACACACCCATTTGTGCACATAATTGTCTGTGGCTGCTTTGGGCTACACCAGTGTAGTTGGGGAGTTGCAACAAAGACTGGCCCATAAAATCTAAAATATTTACTGTCTAGCCATTTCTGGGAAAAGATTGCCAGTCCTATCCTAGAAAAACTCTTACTTCCAAGGTGTACTGATATTCTTGATTAAAAGCATCCCTCAAGGTAAAAAAAATAACATGTAAAACTTACATAAAGTACTGATTAAATGATTATTACTTGAAAGTTTGAGATCACCTTACCTTCTAGCACTGTTTTATCCTGCCTAGTGCTCTATGTAAACAGAACTAAGCTAAAAGTAGTTATGAGAAACAACCAGTGTCTCCTAGGACCATCGTTGCAAGAAATGGGAGGGACCATAGTCATACTTGGTACTCAAATGACAACCTTTGATTGTCACACTTTGTACTCAAATGAGTACCATTTGAAAAACATGTAATGGAATATAGATATGCTTACCAAGTATTTCTACAGAATTTAATCCAGCTGATTAACTTTGCAGATAGTCATATTTTAAATTTCATTCTCTGAGCCTCTTTCTGTTTTATATGAACATGTTTTTTATCCTAATGAATTTGGAGCATAAGCACATTTTTGTGGTTAAAAGAAAAGCTTGAGAATTAGGGTATGATTCTTTGCTCATTTTGCAACTAGACAAAACACTCAGTCCTTTGCCTCTATTTTGGCATATATGAATAGGGCATGTCCTGTTCTTAAGGCCTATAGGTCTTTACTCAGATTCTGTTTTTCTAGCTTATGGGAAAAAAACTGAAGAAAATTATTTGAGACATTAGAGCAAAAACCTCATGTTTTTAATTTCTTATGGGAAATAGCCCAGCATGACTTCTAACAAAGTATCTAAAATATCAGCCTTATATTATTTCCACACCTGCTTTCTCCTTATTTAATCCAAAGCACTGCAGAGCAGCACTCACTGTCCAAGAGAAATAAAATGTAGGTCACATGTGACATTTTAAATTTCTACTGGTAACATTTTTTTAAAAGTCAAGCAAAACAAGTGAAATTAATTTTAATAATAATATATTTTATTTAACCCAATACCTAAATCATATTCCAAGGTATAATTGACATTTTTTAAATTATTAGCTTTTTAATATTTTTTCATACTAAGTCTTTGAAATATAGCATGTATTTTATATTAATAGCACATCTCAATCCAGAAGCCAAATTTTCATCAGAAATACTTGATCTGTATTTAGATTTCATAAATTTACAACTAAAAAGTAGGTTTTCATACCCCAAATTGTTCCAAACATTCTTAAAAGTTCTTCAGTCACACTGGCTCATTTCAGTAGCTAGCCACATGTGGCTAGTGGCTACCATATTGGACAGTGCAGCTCTATACATACCATCAGCATAATTAGAGCAAATTTTTGTCTTGGAACTGATGGTGACAAATGTGTGATTGCAGAGGAGACACACCTTGAAGAAACAACAGAAAGCCAACAGAATGGTGAAGAAGGCACCTCAACTCCTGAGGACAAGGAGAGTGGGCAGGAGGGGGTTGACAGTATGGCAGAGGAAGGAACCAGTGACAGCAACACCGGCTCAGAGAGCAACAGTGCCACAGTGGAGGAGCCACCAACAGATCCCATACCAGAAGACGAGAAAAAGGAATAGATGTTGCCTTGTTTTATGTGTTCTAAATACTTTTTTAAATGAAAAATGTTTTTTGGTTTTAATGGTGTTATGTGGTTTGTGTATTAATTTTTTTCTTGTCCATATTACACCACCAAAGGCTTTTGGACCACTTAGCATCATGAGCCTAACGGCATAGTCACCTTTCTTAATCGTTATGAAGATGGCTTTTTTCTTTGGAACTTGTTTCTAACCCTCAACTGCTGAAAGCCTCAGAATTTAGATTAATTGAGAAAACCCACCTCTTTTAGAGAATTATCCTTTGATGCTGCAGAATCTACTCTTACAAATGCCTTCCTACAGCTCACCTGGGTGCTTACCAAAGCCATAGCTTTAAACCTTCCCAGTCCCCATCAACAGCTTCCTGAAAGTCTCCTCTCTTGTTTACTTCCGCAAAGGGTGGCTTCTTGAAAACGTAATCATGTATGAGTATGTATTTGTTTACTTTCCCTTTTTTACTTTTAATCAATGTCAGATATCAAGAGTCATGTTAAGGAGTTGAGTGTAGCCTGCAACTACTACACTTGGGTCGTATTGATCCAGAAATAGTCTCCATAGAGTAGTTACTAACTTATGAGTAGTCATTAAGGTGAACACAGCACATATACATTATCTGCTGCTTTTTGTTATAATTAATATTGGGTATGTTCTGGTGAATTCATCCTTATTGTACAGGAAAAAAAATTACTTTTTTACCAGGCTTTCCAAAGACAGAATAGATTACAAAGCTCAAGGAATTGAATATTCTTGTAATGGACTAGATAACTTCAAAATATCAGCCCATTCCAGAAGAAAAACAGCTGGGAATTAAGTTCATCCACTTGAAATTGTTTTACAATAATCAAAACATTCAAAACCTCAAGGCTCAGGATCCCATAGATCAGAGCCTACCTTTTTGATAAACTCTAAGTAAAGTCTTAGAGATTAGAAGCAAGATAGTTTGTGACATGTGTGCTTCCCAAAAACTAGAATAGATTTTTACCGAATAGTGGTATATCTGATGGTATATGTTTCTTAAAGGTCCAAATGTAATAAAAAAATGAAAGAAAAGGTCTCAGTGTTTTTAATGCAGTAAGTATCTGTATGCAAGACAAGCATACAATTTTGTTTCTGTAATGCAATGACAATATGGAATGGCCACTCAGCCATTATAAATTTGTATACTCAGGGCCCTTGTCTCACCCAGCTATGTGTCTATAAACTGCTATAAATCATAAGTTAATTTGTAGGAGACACTTCTGAAAATCAGTTTTCTTACATTATAGTCATGTCACATGGAGGTTGGTCTTTGACTCCAAAAGTAAAGGGAACATGTTTCTGCATTAACATATGAGGAATATGAAGAAATCTATGACATTGTATGGCCAAGAACTTCAGCTATCTCATCCCAGACAAATTGGACAGCCTCTTTGATACATTCCCTAGCAGTCAAAATGGGACAGAGACATTGTTTAATATGGGTGGAAAACAGCACAGGTTATTTACTGTTGTATCAAAGGCTCTAAGAGCATAGAAGTGGTTCCTGGAGATGGCACTGGGAAAACAAGTCTGTCCAGACCAAGCCTGCCTTGGACAACACTGGCAATTGGCTGATGAGTGTCATAAGTTGGATGAGATTTGACGGCTCTTAACCTCAAGGGGGGGGATATTAAAGTCAAATCCCCCTTTGTCAGAGTGATGTAAGTAGACTCCAATGTTTGAGATGTTTCTTAGCTTAGAGAATGTAGGATATGGTAGAAGTCTTTGATTTTTTTTCCCCCTGTATCCCACAGGCATTGGGCAAGTAGCGTAAACTCTTAAGCCTGTTTCAACTATAAAATAGATCAAACTACTTTCTATCTCAGCACCCTTACTGCTCCAAATAGCCTTGATTTTTAGTGCATTTATTTTGAGTATGACTGCATAAAGTTTGAGAGCTTAAATTTTATAAATTTTTAACTACAAATGGGAGAGGGAAATTCTCCATAGTTCCCCATTTTTTTCCCATGGGAATTTTTAATTCTGTAACTTTTCCCATCTGTCAACAAGCCTGTCTTTGTAAATGGCTCTCCTCCACTACATGATAATTGTGTATTCTTATAAAGCAGATTTTCAGAGAAGTAAATAAGACAGATTTCACTTTAACGTGGTAAGGTAAATGCCCCGTGAAAACGACATAATACTTTGGCTATATTTGAAAAGGGAATCTGAGGTCATGTGTATCTATTGTAATTTAACTAGGTCCTTCCACATTTTTGGTTTTGATCCTACACATTTGGATACTAGTTTTTGATTTTAGACAGTTGGTACTGACAGTGTGAAACTTCTATTGCCTGTAGTTAAATTGAAGCTTTGGTTTCTCATGTGAACAGGCAGTGAAGCTGGGATTATACTTTGTTAAGTCCTCATTTCAGTAATAGGTGCCCTCCACCCCCAAGCACTACCACACACAGTCTCCCCACCTGGTTTCAGCTAATGCCTGAGTTTTATCTTGTTGTTTTTCACCTCTGGGCAAACCTTGCTGGAACAACAACAATTGACTTTTTAATGATTTGCACATTAGAGGGCTTAACATCTTTGCCAATGAAAAATCCACTGTGCAATAACAAGCTAAAAGGAACTCAGAGCCTTTTTAGGGGAAATCATGCTGAATTATAATTTGACTTAACTGTGACAATGTTTCTTTGATCAGTATGGTAAGGAAAATACTGAGTTTAGTAGAAAACAATATCTAAATATATTACCGTGTTTCCCCAAAAATAAGACAGGGTCTTATATTTATTTTTCCTCAAGAAGACACTCTAGGGCTTATTTTCAGGGGATGTGTTATTTTCCCCTCAAAGCCTCAGCTTGCAGCATGCACAGGATGGCCAGGACCTGACAGGGGAAGCTGACCTTGTTGGTGGGGCTGCCCGCACCTTTCCGGTCACCTCTGGGATAGTAGCTGTCACAATGGGGCAGATGAGAAGGGCTGCTCAACTTCTTTACCGCTCCGAGATGAAATGCATGGGTTGTGCAGATACGCTGCGTAGCCACGCCCATCATTAGGTCTTATTTTCGGGGTAGGGCTTATGTTGCGTAAATGCTTAGAATCCTGCTAGGGTTTATTTTATGGGTAGGTCTTATTTTTGGGGAAACACGGTAGTAATCATAAAATTATTTACAAATGTCTTACTATTAGGTTGAACCACAGACAATTGCCAATATAGGCTTTTAGCTACAAAATGATTTCACCTGGTTCAACCTAACAATTCTGCATTTTATACTCCAAGAATAAGCTCTTAATGGTGGCTTTCTGAGTGTGAAATAGTGGAAATTTCAATTTACCAGACTAACCTATATTTCTCTCGTAGTTTTACTACATATTGTTAAAACCTTGATTGAATTAACAATCATATTGTTAATTCAATCAAATTGAATATTGATTGAATTCAACAAAACATATTGAATTAACAAAACATATTTCCTCTCATTGAGCTAAAATCCGTCTTCCTAAAATTTCAGCCCCCTACTTACACACCTTGAAGTCAAGGAGACCACATTGATTGACCCTGGGAGGCCGAGGCAGGTGGATTGCTTGAGGTCAGGAGTCCTAAACCAGCCTGAGCAAGTGCAAGACCCCGTCTCTACTATAAATAGAAAGAAATTAATTGGCCAACTAACATATATAGAAAAAATCAGCCAGGCATGGTGGCACATGCCTGTAGTCCCAGCTATTTGGGAGGCTGAGGCAGTAGGATCCCTTGAGCCCAGAAGCTTGAGGTTGCTGTGAGCTAGGCTGACGCCAAGGCACTCACTCTAGCCTAGGCCTGATACCCGTCCAGCACTTATCCCCAGGTACCCTAGGGTCATCTTGGCTCTGCTTAAATAAATACCTCTAGTCTTAGGGACCCCATCATCTCTTAAGATAGCTCATTCCTTCTTTAATTAACAAAACATATTTCCTCTCATTGAGCTAAAATCCGTCTTCCTAAAATTTCAGCCCCCTACTTACACACCTTGAAGTCAAGGAGACCACATGTAATCCTCTTCTAAGCAAAAGATGTTCAAATATTTCAAGTCATATGTCCCTTGAGATCCTTTCCTGAGACAATTTCTATTCTCATCATCAACATTGTCTCTCTTCCAATGTCTCTCTCCTGGTGAAATGAGGGTAAAGGACTATCCCTTTTAGGTCTCACTCTGTCACCCAAGCTGAAGTGCCAGTGGCATCATCATAGCTCACTGTAGCCTCCAACTCCTGGGCTCAAGTGAGCCTCATGCCTCAGCCTCCCTAGTAGCTGGACTACAGACTCATACCACCATGCCTGGCTGATTTTATTTTAATTTTTTTGTAGAGACGGGGGTCTCACTATGTTGCTTGGTGTGGCCTCAAACTCCTGGCTTCAAGCAGTCCTCCTGCCTCAGCCTTCCAAAGCATTAGGATTACAGGCGTGAGCCACTACCCCTAACCAACTATCCCTTTTCTACTTCTGAGGTCTAGACCACTAAAAAGCACTGTTTTCTCTGATATGGTAAAATCACGGTTCCCCCCAGTGTATTATACTTAATCAAGGCACAACATCTCTAGACCTTGGAAACCAGCTGCCTACAATAAGGGACGTATTCTACAATGATCTCAAGGTCCTGTCTAGCATGAACTTTGTAATTATACTATAGATTCAAACTCTATGAAATGAGTGTTGATGACTCTCAAATGCAGGAAAATGGGGAGCAAGCAGGTTCAATTTACTCATAAGTACTTCTCAAAGTCAGTCATTTGCATACCACCATCACAATTTTTACCAATTCTGGGTAAAAATACCACTTGTGCTATTATTACTTAGCAGCTTTCTTTGAATCAACTTCTTCCACTTGAATAATGTATTTTAAAAGGAAACTTTGTATCAGCAAAAAAAGTAAAACCATTATCATTTGTCATAAAAAACAACCTTAAATACAAATATTTTAGTAGTTATGTCTAGACTTAAATACAGACTATTTTAAAGAATATTATTTGAAAGGTCTGCATACCACCCAAAATCATCCCAAGCATCTCACATAGTAGGCTGGATAACACTCTTTGGAGGAGATAACATTAATGGGAAGGTATATTTCCCGCTTCTTGCAATTGCAGGAATCTTGTCTTCATAGAAACTACCCATGGGTCAACAGCAGCTTATAACTCAAAGGAAAAGGAGTGAATGTTAATTCCATGGTCATATAATAATAAAAGCCAACATTTGCTGAGAATTCACTATATGCCCAAGTACTTTATGTGCTTTTTATTTTCTGATTCTTGGAGTTAAAATCAGAGTATATCCCTTTACCAATGAAATTTATTATTTATGATCTTGTGCCTGAGTTGGTCAATCAATTCTTAGAAACAATTTTTCCTGGAGAAAGAAAAAATAGCCTCAGCCTTTAGCACAAGGCACTAAATGACATGGAGATTGAACAACTGTCGTAGGGATTTCATCACTGTGGATCAGTAATCTAAAAGATTCAAGACAAAAGAATCCACTTGGACATCAATGTTCTTACAATAGGAAATGTACATGTCAAAAAGATTCCTTTTTTGTATCCTCACCTCCTTCCCTACAGAGCTCTGCATAGCACCAAAATGAAAAAATACATACCCACACCCACAGACTTAAATGACTGGTGAATTTTGCACTAATACAAGATATTATGTTACATAGAAAAAACTACCCCCACATCTGATATATGGGGTATTACACGTGTTTTAGCCCTGTTGTGACTTCCTGTCAATCTGTGAGCAGTAGAGAACTTTTTTAAAGATATCCCTGGTTGAGGGATATCAGAAATTTCCAAAAGTACCAACATCAGGTGGATGTTAGCCAGAGTTACTCTCTGACCTTGACCAACCTCTTCCTGTGTGTGTACTTTGGACAGCTCTTCTTCCTCTTCCTCCTCGAAAAACACACATATCCTGGGACATTAGTTAAAATACCTCCTTGAAGCCATCAAATGTCAGTTGCAGTCTAGACAGGTGGTTCTCAAATTGAACACCGGCAGTTCTCCAGGGAAGCTGTCCGGGCCCTGCCCAGGCCTGCTGTAT